ACAGCTTAGGGTTGGGGTTTTTTTTTTCCATTTTTGCCCATGAAATCAAACATATAAAATGAAATTATAACAGTTCATATTCAAAATGAACTCCATGCCAGATCTCTGAAGAATAATGATGCTAAAAATAAAACGTTACCAGGGAAACTGAATGGAACAGAAATTAGCAATAGGGCCTGATCTAAAGCCACTGAGATAAATGGGAACAGGATCAAACTACACTGAAGAAAATAAATCTGTATTCCAGAATTTCCTCCTTTCACATTTTAGTGGCTTCTGTTCTATGTTTGTGATGAAATCATTCTGAGCTGAAATAACACATAACCTGTCAATAGAATACAGGCTCCTAAGATTCACTGCACTGGGTACCATGAATTCAGCAAGAGGAGCTCTTGTGTGGGCTTTTTTAAGAGGATTCTGGCCCATTTTTGCTCCCTTGTCCTTTAAGGCTACAGACTAGAAACAGAAAATGGGCTTTGGCTGAGGAAATACTAGAGAAGAGCAGAGAAGGAGACGCTACAGCTGATGGCATGGGAAGCCTGCAAGGCACATCTCAGCCTGGATTTACCTTGTGGAAGATGGAAGAAACATGGCAGACACTGGTAACACAAAAGCATCCCAGAGTGACGATGGAGAATCTACAGCTGGCTGATGGAGGAAAGGGGCCAGCTGGTTGGACAACTGGCTCAGCAAGAATGCAGAAAAGGAAGTTACTTCATGACAAGGAGGAATGAGGCTGAAGTCCAAGTTCCAGTGCTCAGGATGAGGCAGACACTGCAAAGGAAATTCAGTTGTAAAATGGTCTGTGTTTTCACATAAAGAAAGCAACAGGGATAAAAAGACAAACTGGCTCAATTTGCTCTCAGAACTATAAGGTATTGTCCTTGAGAACATTATCTACCAACTTTATTTTTGTGTCATTGACAGCTGCTATTAATTACTTGGCTAGCACTTCCTGGTCCTGGGGCCATAGGCTGTAACTGCTTTTTTGGAGACGGACAACATGAAAAACGGGGGAAATCCTATTGTATAAAATCCACCTCACTTTGTTCCATCAGTAACAGAAAGGCACAGCTGAATGCTAATGCTTTCAGGACCCCCAAAACTGTATTGTCACAGCACTAGGCCAGACATACAGACCTCATGCAAAAGAAGTGGCTTTTGTTGAAATCCTCATCATTGTCTTATGACAAAGCCAAAAGCCCGGATGCAACGGGAACCACTCCACTAGTAGCCCAACAGACCAAATATTTGTGTGTGCAAGTAACATTACTGCAATCCATGGGAATTCTGATATAATTATGCCCACACTAATGTGATCAAAATTCTGTAATTTTACTCCTGACAGAGAGGATTCTTGGATGTTCTTGGATGCTGTATTACTGCCTATAATTGGTTAGTTCTGTCTTTTTATTCAGTACTAGTTTTCATAGTGCTATTTTGTTTTCCAGTGCAAAGAGTTTCTTGCTAAGTCTGGTTTAATGATTCTTTCTTCCAGCAATATAGGAAATCTCAGAGTACCTTATTTCACTACAGCTGATGAGGCTACTCTGTACATCCTTCCATGCAAATTTTGTTATTTACTAGCAGGGTAGTGGGGAAGGAGAAACAGGAAAAAAATTCCCATTAAGCAATTCACCATTTTCTATTAAATCAAGAATGGGGTAGATTCTGCTCTTGTTTACACTGACACAATCGTGCTGATGTGTAGAGGGCTTTGTACAGGCACAGGCAGAGGAATGCTTCAGCCATAAGTATATTACTGTTGAAGTGACAAGCATGATTTTGCCAAAGTAGTCTGCCTGAGGACTTGGAGAGGAGTTAAATCACCTCTCTCTCCAGCGAAGAAAGAAGCAGGTACCCAATTATTTCTAAAATACTGTTTCAAACGCAAAACAGGACTTATTTCATGTAGATTTGCAGTAAGGGTTTTTTTTTAAGTGAGGGAGAATGCTGACATCTACAAAGCTGAAATAGATTTCCCATCCGTTCCTTCATAAGCAGCTCAAAGGCTGGTTCATTTCTGTGTTCCAAATTCCCTGTTCCAAAGCCAATCTCCCATTTAGGGGTCAGTCCTGGACTTCCCTGTAAGGCTATTGCTATTACCGCAATTAACAACCCTTCCACAGCAAAAGCTTTACTCTGTTAGTACCTCTGGTTATAAAACAAACCCAAGGTACAGCTCCTGGCATGGCTTTTTTCAACTGCCTGAATGTCCTCATACAGAAGGGTGAACAACTCTCAATAGCTACGTGGAGCCAACTGCCTACAAGAGGTCTCCAAGCCTGGCCTGCCCTGCACCGATTTCCCCCTTAACATAAGAGCTAATAACTTGAGTCAGTTTTACGTAATTAAAATTTCATCTGTTCTTTCACTTATATTAGCAGCTCTTCCATCTTGTGTTTCTAAACTCCTTTTGAGAAAGTCAAAAGGTGGAGAATTATTCAGGATACATTATGTTAAGTGTCTAGATACTCTAATTTCAGCATAGAGATACACACATTCATAGGGAGTATAGAGTCACCTACCACAAAATAAAAAAAAACCCCACCCTCTCTATTTCTGAATATGTTAGTCTGCTGCTATAAAATAGCCAATTAACTATTTTCAGACAGAAGACATTACTTCAGGATTATTTACAGAGAAGTACGATGACTCCAGACTTGACATCTCCATCCCACATTTGCTAATTTTAGCACCAATCTCAAGCTTATTTCCTCACTTCACCCACGACTTTGCTGTGGTATTGGTATCAGAGATCTCTGCCACGATATCCATTCCTACTCAGTGATGGCAGAAAGGCTCCCCTGTTTATGCTATTGCTCCCTAACTGAAGAAATCTTAATATCTACCTCCTCTTTCAAAAGAGTGAAAGCTTAATACTTGCCAAAGTAACTCCCTTAATACCTGTCTGCCCTTGAGGATCATGGTGTAAAAATCCTCTGCATCCCTAGGCTTGTTCTAGATAAACCCTAGAAACAAAAACACCAAAGAAAACCTATCCTGCCTATGGCACTGACAGCTTCACACAAATCATTCCAGTCCAAACTCACAGAGGGCACGCTGCTTGCTAGGAGCACACTGCCGCATGTGAACGCAGACAAATTCCACATAGCAATGTCTATAGCACATCGCATCTTCAAAGCACTGGTGTAAGCAGAATTATTTGATCCTCGCAGCATGGCTAAAAGAGGATCATTATACCACTATATACCTAACAAGCAAGAAGAGCGAGCTATGAGGCGAGCTATGTTTGCAGGGTCTTCTCAGACCTCCAATCATTTAGTTTGTCTTCTGCAGTTCAGAGGCTTACCTCTCACACAGGTATAACATAGGCTGTACTTGACATAAAGGTTTAAAAAGAATCCCGTCGTACTGGCCCCTGCCACTGAGCCCCACGCTCTGAGTTGTCTTAATTCCTCACCATTTAGGAACTTAGTGCCATGCTTTTTCAAGCCGTTACTCATCAACTTAATGGTGGTTTTCACTCTCCTAACTGAAAAAAATAAAAATAAAAAAGAGAGAGATGCAGAACTAACCACAGCAGATCATCAGCTAACACTGAAAAGCCTTAGGGCGTTCACCTAACTCCAAGTTCTCCATTCTGCTGGAGAAGTCACTATAACCCACTATACAGAGAAGAGAGGAACAGCAGCTTTAACTGGCAGCACAGACAGATACTGGCACGTGTCAAAAGTTTAAAGTAGCAGAAACTCAGGGCAACCTTTTTTGCAAAGAAATTTTCCTTTTTGATGAAAATTCTAAAATTAATAGCTCTTTTCACTTAAAACAATCATTATCATTTAAGGTGGTAAAAAACAAGTGAACCAGGCAGAAACTTCTGGACTTAGACTCATCCCCTTCTTTTCACTACCCACTCCTCCTGTGATACTCGCAAGGAATCTGCCAGCTTGAAACCTTAGACTGGGACGGAGGAGAAAAAAAAAAAAAAAAAAAGAAAAAACTTTGTAAGAACAGAGGTTTGAGAGAAAGCTGTAGGTCTTCAAGTCTAGGTTGCCTGCAAAAGCAAACATGCATGAAATAAATGTCTAATTCTGGCATTTACAGTATAGAAAAAATAAATAAAGTACATTCAACATTATGCAGTGAAACACAGTAAATATGAGAGAATGAGCACTGAAGTACACTGAGACAAGCAGCAGCAGCATCTGAAGGGTCAGCCGGATAGAGGCTAATTTCCCATTCATGTGACTACAACGTATAGATGCATCGCAGGGCCAGTATTTTGGCATTGCTTATTAGCACTGCTGAACTCTCCAGAGTTACCTGCATTTGATGTGTTTGTGTCAAGCCTTACGTGTGCCCTTGGGTTTGCTTGTGAGCCATGAAACACTGACCCTGCAGCTGGATTTCTGCCAGAGGAGCTCTGTGCATAGGCAGGGGCTCTGCAAACGCACAGAGACTTTGGTGTAAAGATCCCTTTGCAGGTAAGTCCTTAGATTCTGAGCAGAGTCTGTCTTATATTTGTATATTGAGTCCATGAACCTTATCAAGACTTCTAAGGGTAACTGTAGCATAGATAACTACTAAGCGGTAATAGTTACTATGCTATTATGGTTTTATTCTGCTTCTCTTGTGTTATCCTTATTGAAGTCAGCTGCACTATTTCGATTTTCAACTTTCTCGAGTCTTTTAAAGACGTCGCTACATTTTAAAGAAAGGAATCTTAATTCTCTTTCATGCATAAAGTACTCAGGTTTTTACATTAGAAACAATGAAGAAGTCAGCTGGAAAACAAAACTATTTGTCATTTCTATCAGATGGAATTTAGCAATTACTAAAGCCAATACACAAGAAAGAAACAGCTAATATTAAAATCCAAAAGTACAAAATGTTTCTTCCTCTTGCCCGAGTCACTTTACATTGGTCAAGTAGGAGGGTAGGAGTTTGCTCTTTTAAAAACATGATCCCACTCTTACGCGTCTGGGTTTGGCTCATGAGTCATGATAATTTGGCTGTGCTAAATCAACACCAACCATTCCAGCTGTAAGAATGAAACCATGAGGAGTACTGAGAGACCACGTGGAAGTCCTCAAATCTCAAGATAGAAGTAGGCAAATGAGTATCAAAGAAGGCCTGATTCAAATTCCAGTTAAGTCAAAGGAAAGAGCTTTTGAAAGGAATTTTGGATAAAGCTTTGTGAACTCAAGAAACTGGTTAGCTCAGTGATATTTTTGTCATCATGAATTGTTTGAATAGGAACCCAAATTAATCCTATACAATTATTCAGTGACTGCATTTGCATTGTTGCAAGCCTACACTTCTCATAGTGGCTTTGAGTTCTCAAGCTATGCTTGTCACTCAGTCACAAAAAGTCTGAGAGTCCCCATCAGAACCCAGACACTGTTGTGAATGTCACAGTGAAACATCTGCCACTGAGTATTACAAATCCCTTTGCGTTCTAAAGACTGGCTTGCATTAAAGCATCCACGCCATAGTCAGAGGGTGGGTGCAGCCAAGCAGAGAAAACGCTGAGAGCATGATGACTGCTATAAAAATGAACCCCCCATCTCATAGCTTGTTTCCACTGAGGAATATTACTCAGGGATTAGAGTCTTCTGGTATTCCTCCTCCCATTCTTCTCCACGTCTCCTTTTAGAATATACTGGGAAAAGCAGAAACGGACTTTTCAGTGCAAATATTTGCTCAAGGGAATTGACCTCAACAGTCATTGTGTTCAACACACGATGAAGTCTGTACCCAGGCATGGGTGCCAGAGCTAGGTTAATGCTAGCTCAGATATGTGTATCCAT